TCAACGTTGTTCATTATCAAAGATGACTAGAAACTAAACGTTATTTGTCAAGGAAATATAGTTGTTTGTAGTTTAAGATAAGTGTATATGGTAAATAGTAATACTTGCATGAACAAACAAATAGCCCCAGATAGCCATTGGAGCACGCACACAAAGCACACTCAAACAAACGCACACTCAAACAAACACACATACACACGCGCCCACAAGCACACACACGCAAGCAAGCTAGCACACGCACGCACGCACGCACGCACACAAAGGGTTAAAAGTCATGGCCACAGCGAGGTAACTTTATCATCAAAGGTCCCACAATTTACATACCGACTGCCGCTGACCTAACCTCACATTTTATAGGGAATTAAAACTAAACCACAGATCGAAATTCCACTAAAATGCATGAATTTAGTACTCGACTGAAATATCATACGGTTGTGCTTTTTGCGTTTCTTTTCTTCATATTTATAACTTTTGAGAGAGAGAGAGAGAGAGAGAGAGAGAAAGCCTAATTTGAACAGTTCGACATAATTTAACAACAGTAACCTAAACTTTGTAAATTTTTAACAAGCTAATTTTTCTTATCATTTCCTTCCTATTAAATAACCAAGACAACTTTTATTTTCTTCAGGGAGTAATTTGGTTAATTCTACAGCACTACAATGACCAGCTACAGGGCCTAGAAAAACATTCATTTGTCCTCAGTTTTATTTTATTTTTTCTTCTCGTCTTATTTTTCTCGTGGGAACTTCTTCCTTTGTACGTAGTGACACTGTTGATTTTGTTCTGGGGAAAGAATGATTTTTTTTTGTGTGCTGACTGGGCTGTTGATACTGGATTCTATTTACAAAATTATTTATTTGCTTTTTTTTTTGGGCCGAAAGCAATCGAGAAGAAAACACCATTAAAACAAACAGAATGAATGGCCTCAATTTAACACATCTATAAACATTCCACTTTTTAGTTAAATTAACAATGAAAAACACGTTTATTTCAGTATAGGAGCGATTACGATAACAAAGTTTAATTTGTAATGTGTTGAAACTGGTCCCGACATCGAGGAATTTTGGTTGAAAAACTAAATAAAAGTTAGTAACGATATATCAGATATTTTTCTTTCTAAACAAAGCCGACGTGATGTCAATCGATGTTTCTATTTAATATTATAGCAACGACGATGGTGTTGACGCGATTGCCAAGTAAAATAGAATTGAACTTTATAAAGACAATATTTAAAAAAACACAAGGATAACAACACAAGAAACAAACACCAGTAAAAAAAATCTAATAAAGATATGAAGACAAAACGAGAATCATTATTGGTAAATAAATTAGACACGTTACTTGATTCACCTTTCCATTAAATCAACTAAAAGATTAAAGTTCTTGACTAATTTAATATGAGGTAATATCTCTTAAGGTACACAATGGTCTTTTTGTATATAAATAAAAGAAACTAAAGTAAATGTATAAACTAATTTTACATTAGGAGGAAGAGTAAGTGCTAAGCCAGATACAGAAACCCAGTGACGTGAATAAAGTGCAACAAATAACATGACCATCACTCCGGGATTCGAACCCACATCGCTCCTATGACACGCGAGGTTCGAGTCTCCCATGCTTGTTAAGTGTGATTAAAAGTTGTTTGTTGTTGCCCGAGTGCAGGCGAGTCATTTGGTAAAACTTATCAGTTGTTTTCTTGGATGGAGTTTAGGTTAAGCTCTTGGGTATTGTTCACATGGCTTTCAACTATGGTGGAACATTGGTGTTTGTGTGATAGAGTCGGTACAGTCCCCTTCACTAATGCGTTTACAGAGTCTCTTCTGGTTTTGTGTAGTGTGGCAACTGTTTGTTTACATTCGACAGACTATGGAATCAAATTAAAACACTATTAAAACAAATATCTCAATGATAATGATTTATGGAATGTTTATATGACGAGCCACTGTAAACGTACTTGTGAAGGAGACTACATAGTATGAGTATATGCTTCTTGACAAAGGTCTCTTTCTTTCTGTTATATAAGTATGTCTACTGTTCCCCCCACCTACTCGGTAAGTTCTGTACATATTTCATAAGGGAATTAAGGACTTTGTTTACTTGGTAGATATGTTTAAGTATGAAGGTAAACATCTTGGTGTTCCAACTAAGAAAGGTATGGAGAGCTGAACGTACACTATACCTTACCCTTCACCTAATACACAGCTGAACGTACACCATACCTTACCCTTCACCTAATACACAGCTGAACGTACACTATACCTTACCCTTCACCTAACACACAGCTCAACGTACACTATACCTTACCCTTCACCTAACACACAGCTGAACGTACACAATACCTCACCTTTCAATTTATCCTCACCTGCAGGAGTCGCTTCAAACCCTGCCCTTTAAGTACCAAGTTTTCTCTACACTAACAATCATATTCATGCACAACATTCCACTAGACCGAGGCGAGGGCATACGTGATTAGCATTCAGGAGAGGCATTTAAGAGCATCAGTAAGCGATGCCTCCCCACAGTATTAAACGAGAGAACGATTTGATTGTGTAAATTATTGAAATGATTTAGGGAAGTAGCAGTTAACAGCTGGAATTCCGGCTGACTTTTAACAACAGTGTAGAATAGAAATTGTCTAGCGCTGTTACGTAAGTGCATTAATCACCCAAATTACATCACAGTTAAGTACTAATGACCTGCTTTATGTATCAGTTAACTGGATAGATTCAGCTTAATTTTGTGTCTTTTTTTTTTAGGGGGATTAAAATCGCTTTCCTCTCTTTTGCATTAAAACTCTGTGACAATTTCTCTGGTTTGGTTCAAAATAATTCAAATTCCCACATATATTATTTTTTTTTCAAATGTACTGTAAGTGATATCGCTGAAAGCCGAAACATTCTGCACTTTATGAATAAACATAACGTGTATATCTGGAATTTGTTGAAGAAATTAACTAAAATAGAATCCAGTTAACTCAAAACTACGCTGGTTAAGGGTAGTGTTGGCTTTTTGGGGTGTATTTCTGAGGGACTCCTAATTTCTCGAGTATGAAATTTATATTTCGGAGTTTATTATAGGACTAAAATAATCATGTCTTATGAGTTGCTTGTCATATGTGGGTAAACCGCTCTATATATAACACTTCACACACGAGCCTCCTCCTGCTGGTGCTGAGGGGCCACTGGTAGGACTAGTGGTAACCTCCTGAAGCTGCTAGTGGGTTATCTCGCCCCTTTCCAGGATGATTGTCCATGGAGTGGTTGTTCCACTATCGGCAGATGCACCCAGTAGTGCACTTGATTATCAGAGAGTGGACAAGGAGGGCATCCAATCTTCCGTCCTGGTCGGGAGTTGAACCCGTGACCATCGGCTCGTTAAACAAATGTCTTACCAATTCAATTACGGAGCCATATACACTTTGTACATAAACTGTATATATAATAGTAATGGATACAGTTAACGGTGGAACGATCAACCATAAGAAAAACAAAGATTTAAAACTTTTAAAACGTTGTTTTTCTCAGTTGTCCCAGAAACACGACCCGCTGCTCCCACACACCGCACTCCCTAAAAAGTGACCTGTTTACGAATATACTAAATATTAATAATTGTTATAGAAAGTTTAAATTTCATCAATAATGACCATAGGTAATAAAGTGATGTTAACGTGATATGAAAAGTATTCCTCAGATGGTTTAGCTCTTTTTTTACGTCCCAATGACTTAGTCCATAATATAAAATCCTCTTTGATGCTTTGAGTTGGAGTAAATCAAAGCATTCTCAGCTCGTATTGTTGTCAAGGATAACGGGGTCCCCCCCCCCCCCTTTTCACTCAATTATAAACATATTAAATGGGTTTTTGGAAGTATTATCCCAGAATTTTAGCTTTTCTATTAATCGTTTACTTTATGCATAATGTGTTTATCGAAGTTCTTGTTTATCTTTCGGTTCAATTTATTTGTTTATTTAGTTTTATCCATTTACTACTTTTAAGGTTCTATACTACACTCCAACCAGTATTTCCACATTATGAAATTCGATTTCTTTGATCGAGTTGCCAAATTTCTTTAGATTTCCTTAACGAATTATTTAATCTCATAAATTTCCATTAGATGAAAAGAATATTGGGTTATTTCTCTTGATCAAAGGGCATATTAGCCTAATATAAGCTGCCTCCTTGATGATGATGCCTGTAAAATAATGACAAACGAACAAGGGCGATTAATGAAGGTAAACTTGAACACGTGTATCCACTTAGCTCCACCATAGTTTCATTACATATAAAATTATGTATAAATTGTAATGTACATTGAGTAGGGTTGGTTAGGTGATCCTGTAGAGGGTTCACACCCCTAGATACAGTACACAGATAATTGTTTCTGGGTGAAGTTTCAAACCAAAAATTGGCTTTTCGCTTTTTATCTTCAACAATAAGTCTATGTACAATTAAAGTATGACATTACCATAACTAACACTATGAGCAGTTAGCTTAGGGGAGTATGAAGCGATTATAGGAAGCTTTGTAACACTGGTGATGTGTGTGTGAGATACCTGGGTCAACTGAGGGTAACTGGCTAATACTTTGATGACCTCTGCTGGACTGGTGCGCAGGGGTCATTGGAAAAACAATGAGGTTAAGTGACAGCGCCACGAGCATCAGTATTTACTAGACTAATTTCAACACATTATGTAATAGGAACAAACTTCGAAGTAATGAAGGAAATCGTTACAAATGCTGTCTGGTACATTATTTTCAGCAGAAAACTACATATTTTTATCTCCATTTTTGTAATGAAAGGCTCAAAAAAGGTTCGAGAACTGGATTGGGAATTGCCGAAATCTGCACTTTATGTTGTTTGCCCTCACCACGACGTGTAATTAAGGATTTTCTTAGAATCTAGTGCAGAAGCCATGAATTAATGACTAGTATTTAAAGACCTTAACAGCTAAAGAACAAATATATACTAAACCAACAGTGAAAATTGTATTCTTATCCACAGGCCCGCCGGACCCGCCCAAGAACTGCTCCATCGCCAACCAGACGACGGACACCATCGAGGTGGAGTGTGTGGCAGGCTTCGACGGCGGCCTTCCCCAGACCTTCTACATGGAGGTAAGGAGCACAGTTCTACAGGCTCGGGGTCCTCTTTACAAACTTGAAAAATACTCAACCTCATTAGAATGGAGAGGTCTTTTAGGCTTTCAGGGAGAATACAGAAGTACCTACGGACAGGAGACGGGACCTTAGCCTCTTGCGGGGAAGAAATGACTTGTTAAGGGCATGTTTTCCGAGCTGTTAATATAGTGACCAGTGATTCCTGCTAAGGGGTTAGGAATTTATTCATTGTTTTGTTGGAGGCGAATATTAATACCGTAACTGAGAGATCCAAGTTGATGGAGATAACTAAATGGATGGCGTCCCTCTGAACGAGAAGAGAGGTAAGGGGGTTTTGTCCCTGTTCTTTACATACAGGTGAACGGCCCTCATTCTAGGATACGTTCCTGGGGCAACTAAATAGAGGTATAGTTCGTGAGGGCTTCTTTGTTTCTTTATATGAATGTGAGACGAGAGTATGTAGTAATGAACTGATGAGTGGCCTTCACACGACCCTCAATGGTACAGATGATGACTGGGGTTAAGTGGTAACACAAGGCTGAAGTACTTCTTTTCTTTCAATCTTTATATTAATTACTTAATTCATTAAAAGCAAAGGTAGTAGTAGTAGTAGGATAGTTTATAGTCTACTTATTTCAACTTGACGGAGTTCAGCCACCAAACAATATTCGCCTCATCAACGACCAGTCCCTCACCCACTCCTTACTTCCCCTTCATGTCAGATCTATCTCCCCAAATTTCCCTTTTCTTCCGCTATTTCCATTGTCATTAAGCAAATGGAATCCAACCCACTACCCCATTTCACTTCAATCCCAGGTACAAAACACGACATTCTTGCTTGTGCCGGTCCAACCCTGTCCAAGTTCCATTTACTCGAATTTATCATCAGTCCTCGCCCTCATTCCTCCCATTTCCCGTATATGGATCTTCCTTTGCCAAGGTCTCCCGTCTTTCCATCTACAGATAACATTCAACTCCTACAATTGAAGACATACGAGTACCATTAACTACTACTTCCATAGTTAAAGTAATGCCTCTTCGACTATCTTGTTCACGGTGCACCAAGAAAGATTAACTTAAAAGTATTCGAGTTATCTGTATTGCTCTCAAGACGCACTTCTTTTGTATGTCTTCCGTAGTCCACCACGGTATAAAAAAATATTATATATATATATATATATATATATATATATATATATATATATATATATATATATATATATATATATATATATATATATATATATATATATAACATTAACTACACATGCTTGAAATATATGACCAATTAGTTTACCACTCTTGTGATAGCTAGGTGAGATGGCCAGGTGAACTGGCCAGGTGAACTAGCCAGGTGAACTAGCCAGGTGAACTTAAGATCACGAAACTTGTGTATTAGAGAGAGAAAGAGGGGGAGAGGGGAGAGACCGGGAAGGAGTTAGAGGAGGGGGGTGGTGAGGGGGAGTGTGTAGGTGTGGGAAAGGGGAAAGGAGGGAGAGTTGGGAAGGGGTAGGTAGGTGGGGAGAACTGGGAGGTAAGGAGAGGGAAACGGTGGTGGGGAGAGGGAAAGGGCAGTGGGGAAAGGAGATGAGTATGGAGATGAGTATGGAGAAGAGAGAGAGAGAGAGAGAGAGAGAGAGAGAGAGAGAGAGAGAGAGAGATTTAAATGTTCGCAACACACCCCCTCGGCTCTGGAAGCTGTCGTCAGTCTCGGAGACCATCAAGGAAATGAACAGCGCTAGGCGCCTTCACCTGTGACTCCCAGGTAATGTAATGAGAACCTTAATGAAACTCCTGAAGAAGTTCCTGCCATGACCTGGAGGGGGAAGTGGCAGAAGCTGGGATATTAGTGGAGTTGTTGTGTCCTCTCCAGACGGGGGGAGATTTAATTAAAGGAGTTTCATTAAGGTGTAATATGTTGAACCTGCTCAACTATACAACCTCCCAAGATTGTTCTTCTTACTATATTGTTTAAACGATGAATATTTACTACCAGTTTTACCTCCTATTTGTTGTTGTTTTGCCAGGGATTGAAGTCGTTAAAAATCTCTCTCTCTCTCTCTCTCTCTCTCTCTCTCTCTCTCTCGAATTTTAACAATGATTTTATTATTTATTCTAAGAATTTTCCAGCATTCATTTATAAGGGAGAGAGTTTGTGCTGAAGGTATCATATTGCTCCGTATAGCCGCTTAAAGACTGATACTTTCTGGTAAATGCATAACTGTGTTGGACTATTGAAATTACAAAAAAGATTTCTTGTACTTTTTTTTTGAGAGGGTGGGGTGGGGTGGGGTGGGGTGGAGTGGGGTGGGGATGCTCCGCCAATTATAAACTCTTCAATATACTGACTTCCCAGGTATAATGAGCGTCAATATTATTCCAACACACATTAATAGTATAATCTGATAAACTATCACAGTATAATGCTCCTGAATAATGCCCCACCTTATTTGTTATGCTCTATATTGCTCAACCTCATATAATGTTAAGCTCTCTAATGCTCCAGGTTTACGACTCGACTTCTGGGGCGCTTCACCGCAACATATCGTCACCTGAGCCGCTGTTTCACCTGACTGACCTACGACCCGGCCTCGCCTTCCTCATGGTCACTTACGCCGCCAATTCCAAAGGCAGGAGTGACGTTGCCAAGCTTCAGACCTTTACCCTCAAAGTGGCTGAGAAACGTACAGGTAAGGGATCGTGATACTTGGAACTCATTAGGCTTAATAATAACAGCCAGGTAAGGAGCCTCGTTACACATAGCCGAGTTATGAGTCTGTTGACCTATGTTTTGTTATTTTTATCAAGAAAATAAGAGAAACGAACTGACAATAATCAAAAGCAAAGGAATGGAGAAACGATATTCAGAGGAGAAGTGGAGAAGAAATTTATCAGGTAAACGAAGGTCAAATAAATTATAGTGTCACTCAAGTTAAGTTGCACAGCGGGCCGACATGGGTAACTGAAGTGGGTGTTTGTCCTCCTAAGATTCGTCGGGAAAATTACAGGTATCAGGTAAGTTATGAGGCTGAAAAGGCTAAAATATACAGACTTACTATGAGGACGCTAAATTAGTTACTCGAAGTGAGAAAGAAACACATTTTTGCAACTAAAATTAAAACCTTCATGTATAGTTACTGGGGAGTGTTTACGAATCCTAAGGGTAAAAGACGGACATTTCTCCAACAATTTGAGAAAACATTGGAAAATCTCACTCATCAAAGGTTGTTGCCGAAAGGTAAACATGTAACCCGAATCAACACGAACTCAAGAACTGAGTTTAATCATTAATGTAGTGTTGATTTAATCCTAAGTTTCATCCCATATTTAGAACACAAAGAAACAACGAGAAAGCATCAACTTTTTTTTTAATGCAGAGCTCTTGTTGTTTTGTTATGTGTTAACTATCTGCCTCTTATACTATTTTACTCTAAACTGTCCTTCTCGCTGTCCAAAATTTAAAAGCGACACGAAAAGACAAAACTTGCAATCCAGTCTCCACTTTCCAAAACCCAACTGACCAAAACCACTTCGCCAATCCTTCCCTTCAAAGGACCTCCGGCGCTTTTCGAGTTCACACCTGTCCTAGGAATCCTGATCGGTGTGGTGCTGGCCTTGATCCTGACGGCGCTGGTGGTGATGGTGGTGATGAAGATGAGACGAACGCCCCCGAGTGGTGACATCGGAGCCCCAAACGACGAGCTCAAGGGAGACTTAGAGAACAAACCGCTCAATGTCGGGGTGTTGGCTGCCAGGGTGAAAGAGGGACCCAGCGTGTGTGAAGCCGAGGACAATGACCCTGACATCATCCCACACAAAACCGGTAAGAAAATAATGATGTTGTTTTCGTATGTACAGTAGAAAAGTAAGAAAATAATAGAAAAAACATGAGTATTTTTTTATAGTATCTGATTATGTACCTAAATCTACATATCATCTTCCTTCTACATATTATTCTAAGTATTTATGCCTTGACCTGTCCACAGTTATAAGCCAAGTTTAAGCATACTATAATCATATGCTAGCGAGTACGAAAAAAATTAAAATAAATCAGTTGGGACAAATGGATTTTTGTCCAAGTCTAATATAACAACCATATCGATTGAAGGCCAGTAGTTACTAGTTTTAAAGGTTTAGGCCCCGATGGGTTACGATTCAGTTTGTTAGGTTACGTATGGTTAGATTTGATTAAGGCCCAGTTGGAACACACACAATTCTACGGACATCCAGTGCCAGGTTTCACTATAAACGTCTCGCACTCCCTAACTTAACCTTCTACCTCTTGTTTTCCCACAGATGTGATGTCGTACCAAGACTACGAGAGTATAGATCGGGGAGGGCCGGGCCCGGGCGTCGACACTGTTCCCTCTGTACGAACACTACCACGACCGGTACGTTGTCTGTCGAGCCTTATGTTAACAGAAGACGAGCAGAAGTTGTGAGGAAGAGTTGTTTAATACTTGGGGTTATGCTTTGCTTCATATTTACAAAGGACATACACACATAAGCTTACACATTTATGCACATTTTTACACCTGCAAAATCAGAAGAGTAGAAAAATATATAAGTTGCCTTATACTCGAGTATATACTTAAACCATTCTACTATACACTATTGTTTAGTCATCATTATTTGAAATACTTTATTTATTTCTTAGGTTTTGACAGGTTGTCCACTTTTCCTCCATAATAATTAGAATATAACATTATACCCTCCCCGTCTGAATAGTCATTAAGCGAAACGATAATGATTCCCGGTTTGCTGAAAAGCTGTGATTCTGGGTATATTTAATCTCACTAAGTATGTATGAAAATAGATCACCTCGGTATTATGAACTGTTAATATATATATATATATATATATATATATATATATATATATATATATATATATATATATATATATATATATATATATATATATATATATATATATATATATATATATATATATATATATATATATATACATATATATATATATACATATATATATATATACATATATATATACATATATATATATATATATATACATATATATATATATATATATATACACATATATATATACACATATATATATACACACACATATATATATATATATATATATATATATATATATATATATATATATATATATATATATATAACTAATATGTGAATGGAATTGCGTTACTCTTTTCGCTAAAGGTGTAGCCTCTGAGTGTAAATACGTTAGCGTATATACTACAACTGTTTATTAAATATATTCACTGTCGAGAAATTATTTCAACAAAATCTAATCGGCAAATAGTGTAGCACAAGTCAGTGTGTAAACATGATCGTTTATTACAGTGTTGAGGTGTGTGGAGGCGGATGTATTCTGAATACTTTCCCCGCGACACAAGTCCCTTGTCACAGTCACTGGTATTTCCCAGAGGAAGTTTTAGATAGCGGGCCAAAGAGTCACAGATCTGTAGTCTGGCTCTACAAAATATGATCTTGGGGCAGGGATGGCAGGGTCTATGCATGCCTTATTTCCCACAGGTCGAGTGCTGTAGGCGCGAAATTTTAAGTTTTGCCAAAATTTACATATTGCTTACCATGACGCGTTCAGAGAGGCTCTACGTCAGCTGGGGCACTGCATCTTTTGTGCGAGAGAAGGGCGTATTTTATCTTATTTTTAGCTTTGTAATTGTTTTATTATCATTACTATTATTACTTTTATTATTAGTAGTATATGTGTGTGTGTTTTTGTGAATGTGTATGTGTAATTTTTTCCATGTGCGTCTGCTCTCTCATGTAAATATGACATAGCCTGTACGTGTGAGTACCGCTGTCTATTCTTCACCAGTCACTTAAGACACTTTAAGACAACACCATAAATATCTTACTGTATCTGGATTTTGTATTTATTTGTAATGTTGTTGTTGTTGGTGTTATCGTCCCGGGACTATAAACTAACGATGTACTGAAATACTCCACACAATGATGCACTTGTTAGAGAGAAAATATATTGATTTGTACTACACAATGATCGATATTATAATGATTTTTTTTACCCCTTATATTGTCTGATAATGTTGAAGAATTCCCTGAGTCTGCACGCTGTTAGATTACTAGGGAAAAAATTTGTTACACTGACTTCTGATGAGTTAAAATTCATTCCACCACAGGCGCCTCAGCAATCGTCTTTTTATTCAGCAGGTTAGTCCAATCACTAGCGATACTGGCATGACTCACCCAGCATGGGACACATCCAATGACTCGCAGCATGAGTCCAATCTAGATTAGTCTTACTACTCGTTTTGCAAGACTTCCATGGTACAGCATGTGCCTTGGGTGGCGTTGACCCAGGGACCGGTCACGGGGACAAGAGAAATACTTTGTTTTTGTTTTCTAATGTCAATACTGGCTTAAATATTACATGGGTTTTTTTCCTAGATACTCGTGGCCATCACCCTAGTTGTCCATGTACCTTAAACCCAATAATTTGAAGTTTATAGAACCTGTGATTTGTCATGGAATTAGCATGTGCATGTGAGAAGAAAACACCTCTTGTTTTTAACCAAAGGAAATTAATCTTAGTTTTCCCTACCAAACAATAGTTTTTTTTTTGATACCGTTGTCACAACTCAGTCAGGCATTAACTTTGATCTGAGTCATTTAAGCCATGAACTAATCCGAGCATGGTTAGTCTGCCCTGTGGTTTGAGTGGATTCTCCCACCTGCACCATGATAGCCCCATTGACCATCCCTTCCAGTGTTATTGTAGGTACTCCCTCCCACCACACTGGTTTATTTTATATTACAATTCCCCTTTTTGTGTTCTGCTGTGTCATTGATTTGTGCAATTGATCCTTAAGACGCCTGGAGTCGCCAGCTTTCTTGATGCGCAACAGTGTGTAACTTTAGTCCATCACGTGAGTTCATCCTTCAATATTGAAAATAATTTATGCAGTACAAAATATTTTATCTGTTTAAATAAACAGATATCATTAAACGATCTAAAAAAAATTAACATACTACTGGTGAAAGTGTTTATTTTTTATTGTTAAACTAACTAATTGCTGCAATATTAAACAATAAGTTAATCAACTCTTACCCACAAACGCATCATGTGAGCATCTGTCCTACATCTTAGGTTGTCTAATATCTTTCTTACGTTTCTTCCACACAGCATAACCAGGTTCCCCCAGGAGGCTCGACGGTAACCTATGTAGAGTTACCGTTACCCAGAGACGCCCAGCCAGGCTACCAAGTCAGCGCCACTGACCTCTGTCTCTTCGCTGCCAAGAGGAAGAGTATGTATCTCACCGCCTCGGCCACCACCACAAGACCCCTGTCTACCACCAGCACGACCACTACTACTACCATGGCTGCCACCGGACCATCCACCGCCTCTCGCATCACTCCCACCACCGCTCCTACCTCCCCACACCCCAGTAACGAGGACTTCTTTGACGACTCCAATATTTACGCCACGATAAATCCCGTCAGAGGTGTGGACGTCCCCGCCACCAAGGAGCCGCACATCTACGCTACCATAGAACACAGCAGAAGGGATCATACACCCACAACATCCACGCCTATATACGCAACTGTGGATCATAGACGGAGCGCGTATATCCCTTCCACCACAGTGACGCACACCTCTACTACAATCACTCGTCCTAGAAGCGTTACCAACATTCCCACCGTTGTTAGCGGCCCTGTTCCTACTGCTAACACCTACGCCACCATAGATTATAGGAGGAATGCGAATATAACTACAACAAACGCACCGAATGCCTACGTCAGCTCACTTCACCGTCTGAGTTTGCATTCTCCATCAGATTACCATGATAGAAGAGTGACGTCACGAACCCCATTGCTAAGGTCACGTACTCCGCCGGTAACGTCACACCCTCAGACAACAACGTCACGGTCTCCACTACTGAGGATGGCCAATGAGAGTGCTGTGTAGAGCACCGATAACGTCATGCTCTCCAATGACCAATGAAAGTGCTGTGTACAGAACACTGATAACGTCATGGTTCCAATGACCAATAAGAGCGCTGATAGCGTCATGCTCCCCAATGACCAATGAGTGATGTGTGAAAAACACTTGACGTCATGCCCTCCAATGACCATTGAGTGTGTTGTGGTGAGCAACCTGGTGAAGGATAATTCTATTTTCATGACACATACATACTGATCGTAAGACATTTGTAGAAGAGCTAATGGAACTGACCTTTGCACAAGTAACAGATGTTTGTCGTAGAAAATGGCTTATGTGTTTATTAAGATTACGTTTTTTAATTAATGGTGTGTGTGCGTGTGTTACTTGATATGAGAGATGCGGTTCTTCATGAAGGCTTTAATGTATTTGTAAGAATATTGTGAACAGAAACGTGCAGCTTGACGGAAAAAAACAGAGTTTCTTAAGCGTAAACTTGGTGTACTAAAGCAGACAGACGCACCTTTGAAAGGAATCACATAATGATTTGTGACAAGGAAAAATATACCGCAGTTATTTTTCCAATGGAAGCGAATTACTGCTTCCAAACTTACATACACACACAGACATACACACACACAGGCTCACAGAATGGCATCCATTGATTTTGTTATGTCAAAGACAGCTGACTGAGGCGTCTCTCCCGTTACCATGGTTACCATCGATATGGCGGGAATATTTTATTCTATTTGGAGGCTTCCATGTACATATTAGTCGGAGATTTTTATATGTAGGATGTTTAGAGATCGTTTTATTAATAGGTGTAGTGATGTGTACTAGAAAAAAAATCTTGACTGGAGTTCTAGATGTTTGATTGTAAAATAAAATGCTCACTCTTGTTTAGGGTTTTTTCCATGCAAAAAACATATGGTTCCTCTTTATAAATCATCTTATAATAACAACAGTTTGTTAACCATTATGCATCCATGATTCATATACGCAACACACGTACCCACACACACCATCGTTTACACCAGAAAAAGAGGCACATGTCCACATCATAACCACATATTTCCCAAGACCGACAGTAACAAAACCAGACCAAAACCCTTTGCAGTAAACCTTGACCGAGACCAAACGTATCTTAGCATTTATGTTATGCCTGTACACAAGCTGAGGATATAGGAGGTTTTTTTTTTTTAGCAAATAATTACGGTCTCGGTTCAGACAAAGATTAAAAAGAGTGATGGCCTGAAATCCATCAACGAGGGAGACTCAGTATTATAGTAACATAGAAATATTTACCTACTAGTATGGCTGTGTTTTTATCAACATCTAAATCTTTATCCACTTTCATAACATAAATATATTTAATTTAATACTCACATTTCACTTGTCATTTATTTATTAATGTCATACCTATTACATGAGGCTCGCAGACCGTAGTATACTTTTCTGTTTATTTAAAATATAGAATTGTTCATAATTTAGAAACAACAACATACTCAGTATATTTATTGATATTCTGCATCTAATGGGCCTCATCATCTCCCACGGTTATATACACACCTCACCAGAGTACTAAAGGCAGGTACAGAGCCAGTTTAACCAGCGATAGATCCTTGGACTCGTTCTGCTGCCAAGACTGAACTGGAGTCACATCTGCTGCGTGTGTGACCTTCCCTAAGAAAATGAACCACAACTCAGAAAATCACTGCTTTTGATAAATTTTTCCCAGACTCAGGAAGTGAATTTATGACCAAGGACCTCGACTCTGGCAAGTAACCTGAGGTGAGGTATTAAACCTAACCTGAACCCATATTTAACCAGTTTATCAGTCCCTTCCAGCACAACACCTGATAATTAATAACATCGATTTACGGTCTCCCCAAATCTCGTTGAAACCTGAGACCCTGATAAAGGTGTCAAGACCTACGTCACTGATATAAGTCTATTGTCAGTTTAAATAATGCATAAAATTCGGCTCAATCAGCAAAGAATTGAAGTTAAGTTAATAATAATTACTTACATGTAGGTGTAGGCCAGAGGACGGAGCACATGCATATAACTCAAAGCTTAAGTCAATAGCAGTGATATGAAACACTAAGATCCTCACTACAACAATTGCCGATGATTCATATTGATAAATGAACTTCGAAAGGAAATTTAAAGTTCATTTCAATTCGATTTGAAAATTGCCTCGTCCTTTACAGAGAACAGTATGATAGAAATTTCTCACTGCTTTCAAAGTGTGTTAATTGTTGGCGGACGTGTTCAATTCGATGAACCATTTTTGCATGAATAGAATAAAAATCTACCCACACTTTCTATTCTCTCCCTCTCTTCAACCCTCATTCACTTCTCTCTTCCCCCTCCTCATCCATCCATATATTTTTTTTTTTTCAACGATGGAATCTTTTTTTGCAATTTGATTTTATAGTAGCGGGATTTTTAAGTATTTTTTTCTGCCACACACGGTACTTCAATGAAACAAGTCATTACTCAAACTACATTTAATTATAATATGGCAGTCATAATATACAGTCAACAAAATAACGATACTTCCAATTGTATGATGCATTGTGTAACCAAGTAATGGATTCTGTATATCACTTAAGTTAAACCAGCGAAATTAACAGGAATTAATCTATTAAATGAGTGTTTGGAAATCTTGGTTCAGTGGGTCATATCGTATAATACAGTAAAATTGTTAACTCACATCGTGGTGACACCGAGCCTGACCTTTTGTACGTCTCTGATTCTGGTGAAATGCCATATTTGATGGATAGTTCACCAAGATCCACCAATGATGATTGTTCAATAGAAACACCCAGTATTACAAAAAGCGTGATCAAAACTGGACTTAATATATCATAATTATAGTCATTTGAAGATCAATTTTAACTTATTTTCCATTTATTCTCTACATTTTGGATATTTTGTAGAGGCCGTTGAACACAGCTAACCATAAACTACGCGAAAATATCTATATTATTTTGTATTTTATTGAATATAATATCTTACTAAGTAACTTTCTAGGAAACATAGCACCCTTGATATTCTATAAATTATTACGAGTTAAACTTTGGCCTTCAAGTGGCAAATACATATGTTAGCGTAACAACGGAGGCTTCAGTAATACGGAGGAATAATTAAGTCCACAATGTGTACAGTCACTAAAAAAAATTATCTGTACTGGGGGGTGACCGAAAATTTTCATAATGAACACTGCGACTCCTGTTGTCTCGGTAGGGTTGTCAAAATCCTTCGTCCGTTGTATAATTTTCTCAACACAAATTTCTAGATAGTTTTTTTGAGTGACTGTACAGCAACAATGGAAATGACTTAACGCTGTACTGTCAATATGCTCAAAGTGAACTACTAGTGGCACACATTGCGTACAATAATCTCTCATAACTGTTGATAGGTTTTGTCTCGCGCGGTAACTAAGACTCGTTCACTGTGCTTCATGACCTTAACTGCCGAAGAACTTAAAATCCAGTAATAATAAGAACAAAACGACCACCATAGCGAACCAACAGCGGGGTAGGTGTGTAACAATGTATTTAAGAGGACAATTGTGCAATATTAGGAACTTATTTTATCTTGTCCTCCGTGACTCTCTAGTTGCAGGACAACATTGACACAAGCGACACACCTAGTTATGATAAATAGTCGCAACATGAAAATTTTAATGACGGAAATACCTCCCACCTGTATTAATATATACAGAAGAGGCGGTTGTATATACACAAGCTATATAAGACTAATAAATATCTTTTAATTATCCCAGTATGTTCTCTCCGCCCACAACAGGATCGAGATATCAATGTGGTTTGACCCTCTCTCTTTATACATAATCCCACACCTTAAAATGTCATGATTTTCCACCCAAGCGAGAGCACGCACACACACCCTCTTTCCATTTCAGGCTTCCCCACCCTCTCTTGCCCTCAGCCCCCCACACACACTCTCTCTATATACCTTAGAACCAAAACTTATCCCTTCTCAATATCTCAGCCTCCCCACACACACACACACACACTTCTCTCATGAACGTCGATGTTGTATTCTGACACTTGAGCTTATGTTTCTCTGTTGACATTTTGTAATTATCCGATACAAACAAATTCAGAGGTTTGTTAATATATTGTTATCTTGGCTATCTTTCCTGTGTGTTTGTCGAGGATAACAGGATTAGTGTCGTTTGATTACTTTTTTTTTTTTTTAACATCTTGGGACTCTTAGCTCGAAGCTCTTCAGTTCCCTCGGTAACAGTCGAACTCTTCTCTTTCTATTTCAACTTTATTCAGTGTTGGGTCTACCTATAGTTATTGCCATCATCATTTGTGCTTTCCTGTGTTTTTTTTTTTCTTGTTCAAGTCAATAAGCTTTATTATATCTTTTCATCACCATTATTATCATTACCATTGTCTTCATTTCCTCTCCTGGTTAATCTGCCTATGAGATTTAATCACGAGTATTAGTCGATGTACTTTGCGTATAGTCTAACATTCATGGCAGATTAAAAAAAAATACCAAAAATACAATTATAATTGAAACCGATCCAAATTATCTTATAACCCAGAGAAAAAACCGTCAAAATACAGATCTGAAAACATTCGAAAACTAATAATATTTCCTTAGAGAATCTTTTCGTGTCAGTAGGATGACGATGGAGGTATTTTGTGGACGCGGGAGGATACGCATATGTACAAGCACTTCCTATAAGCTGGGAAGTCAAACAGGAAACACTTACAAATAAAATATTCCAAAGCTTTTCTGACCAATAACTATATGGAAGTCAAGACCTAGAACAACAGTGACCTGTAATAAAGACGAAACAAAAAAAGATGTACTGTCGAACACATCAGCCGAGTACTATAAAAAAAAGTCGATTATATGTGTTTGTGGTCGACGGTGGTGGTGATTTCTGGCAGCGGAAGTGTCTCGGAATGCTGCCACAATGTCCAAAAAAAAAAAAAGTAAATAAGCTGTTACTTTGTCTGTTTAATGTTAGTCATTGTGTGTGAATGCCGGTGTCACGAATATATTATCATCTAGGCATTTTTATTAATTACGGGGCAGTGACCGGGTGTTGTAAATAAGGAAACTGACCTGTAATATTGTGTGATGCGTGTAGGGGTCTAGATCCGTGTGCTACAGTTGGTGACATTTATGGTTTTCTGGTATAAAACAGAGTGTAGGATCTACCTATTTTGAATATTTCCTAAGAAGATTCAATTTCATATATTTGTAATTAATATAGTATCGTGGGCAGAGACCAGAGCTGGCCACGGAGCAATACACGTCGCTCTTCCCCTATCACCAATAGACCTTAGGCTAACTGGAATAGTATAATCGACACTTTTCTTTCCTACCGGAAAATAGTACGTACAATGTGCCAATTTCTCTCCTTCCTCACCTACGATAAATCCTCCAACACGCAAAGTAAACCATGATTCATACCCACTAAACACAAAGAACATACAGTTCTATATGATGCAGTATATGGTCCACCATACAACTGTGACCAAATGTAAAACAGACTAGACTATAACACGTATTTATTGATTTATGCTTTAGCAAAAACAGTCACACACACACACACCCCCACACAGGGGGGCCCGGATGGTCTCTGCTCGCCGTGGGGTGGTCAGCCATGCTATTTTAAGTATAAAATCCTTGTACATCTCAAAGTGTACAGCAATCGTGCCTTTTGCTTACTTATATCTGAACTTTATTTGTCTTCTTTGTGTGATGTACGTAATAAAGATAGTTGTTTAATTGCCTTTTTTTTCACAAGATCTCCAATAACTATAATGTTGAATAAACCGTAAAAATGTAATATGTAGATAATGAACATGTCTACAACAACTTAAAGCTTATAAATTAAACT